GTTAATTTTCCACTAGAAAATGCTTTCTGTGAAGTCCAGATTGATGAGATGTACTGTCTTACCTCTGTCTAAAAAAGCACTTCACCAGGCAATTACATTGGCACACAGCATGACTTCTCTGCTGGAAAGCACAACTCATGTCTGAATTTTACTTATCTTTCTCTTCTTTACAGGCTTTTCCTTAATATGAGGTATGCAATGTTTTAGTGCTTCCATGCTGTCTGGGTGCCTATTACAGACTGTTTTCTAGCTATCTAGTGCTACACTTCCTCTTCCTCTCCTTGCCTGGTCCCTGAGGACACCCTGCTGCCAGCCCCTGTCTCCTGACAGCTCTCTGGGTGTTGTGCAGCCTGCCTTCAAGTCCCTTTACCCAGCTGAGTTCAGCAGCCTTTCAGTCCCACCTGGGAGCTGAAAGGTCCCTTACAAATCCTTGTTCCTATCACCCTTTCTTCTCGTGCACATCATCCTCACTGTGAGCTTAAGACAGCATTTCCTTCCTCAGGGTAGAGAAGTCATCTCTGAGTTCTTCTTGATAAACAAAAACATGGAGTGCTTTGCGGTCTGCCAGAGCAGTGTGGGGTTTTTTCCCCCTTGAGCACTGAGATCATCTGGTTCCCCTTTACGCCCTGATCTTTCAGCAGGCTTTGCAGGGTGTTGCCACAGCTGTAGAGGCAGTGAGCTGGGAGGGATTTGTCTAGCTCACTTGCATCAAAGGTGTATATGACACTCTTACTCATTATTCCCAGAGCATATGTCCCAGAACTGCATTATTGCTCCCTCGCCGCAGCTTTCTGCTGTTAGTTCATATTGAATAGCCAGTTTGTCACAATCTCCAAAATTCCTCCCGGAGGCTCTGCTTTCCAGACATGTCACCCTAGGAGGTCTGCCCGGCATTCCTTATTCCAGGAATAACTTTCTGCAGTAAAATGATGTTTGTTTAAACAGGCTTTGCTCGCTAAGCAATAGAGTGCTTTGCATGGTTACCCTGTGCTCCTCGTTATTCATCATTTTGAATCTTTTTGTCACTTATGCACTGCACCAGCCCTGAGATCTGCATTTGCTTCTCTGTGATGAAAACGCTGGGAAGTGGCAGGCCTCAAGCAGCTCCCTGAAGAGCTCTGCTAGAAATATTGCTATTTGAAGATGATTCACCACTGGCAATTAGTTGTTGAGAACTGTCAGCCAGTGCTTAATCTAGTTAACGTGCAGTTTATTGATATTATGTAGTGCTAATTTTTTAATCAGAGTGTTGTAAGGCCTGATGTCAAGTGCCTTACAACAGTCCTCCCTGAAGCTGGCTTAGAGTCAACCTTAGAGTCAGGAGGTAGGTGTGACACCTGCCATGGAGATGTCTCATCCTACTGCAGAGAGCCAACAAAACTAACAGAGCCAGTTGTTAAATATACTCCTGCCCTATGATGTGCTACCATTTGAGACCCACCATGGAACTCTCAGGAACTTCATTCCATCTTGATGAGCCCACTGCAACCTCATTCGGTGTGTGCAGAAGATGGCAGGTGATGTTCTGGGGGCTGTCCCTTCCTCTCTGCAGCACCGTTGGTCTCACCACAGCGATTCACTTGGTGTAAGTCAGTTGGTAATCACACCCAATGATAAATAGTGGGAGACAGGAGTTCGGCACAAATAAATGAGCCTCAACTAACCTCATTTACTTCTTTTGACAGAATAACAAGCTTAGAGGATAAATTCTTCCCTGCCAGAATTTGTTTCTCTGCTGCCAGACACCTTAGCAATTAGCATAGCCCCATCCTTCCTCTGTGAACTTTCAGGATGCTTCCTGCAGAGGCAGGTTCAGACCACCCTCTCTGAGTTTTGACTTCTTCTGTGAGCTGGTGTAATCATTAAATATCCTCTCACAGTGTTCTCTGTTAGGACAAGGTGTGGATGCTGAACCAGGGGACCACGCTCAGGAGGGGAGGGAGCTGCCTGAACTTCACTGCAGACAAGCTGCAGCACAGGAAGAGGCCAGGCGTATGTGCTTCTCCCAGAGTGGCAATTAGCTTCTGTCTCCTTATGGCCCCTTGGTGGTGCCTGTCCGAGGATGCTCTATCCCACATCTCTGGCCATAGCTTTTGGTTCCTCATTCCTGAAGTGACTCATCCAAGGAAGCAGGTCCCTTCAACACTCTCCAGGGGCAGCGTCACCGGGCAAGCTTAGAACCAAAACAGCTGAGCTCAGATCTCACCAGTTTACCAGTGGTTTAAATCTTCAGTTGTGGCCAGCCAGATGGTCAGAGCTGTAGCCAAGGTGGGTTTTGGCATGGCAGGATGAGGCAGCTATGTGTTGTACAGACAAAGGTCTGTGTTTCTGTTCCTGGGAGCTGCCTGCAGACAACAAGCATGGGAAGTCCTTTGTGGCCAGCTAAAATGGCAAAATGCTCTCCCAGCAGGGGAAGCATCTTGATTTTCAGTGGGAAGTCCAGGAGGGATCTGAGGTGGTGCAGGGCCTGAATAGCACGGAGTTTGCATCTGTCCCAAACCCTACAGCAGACCTGGTGCCTGCTAAGACATCAGGCCCTGCTAAAAGGAGGCTTCTACTTCTGAAGCCTTGCAGTGTCTATGAGGCACTATTCCTGGGAGCCCTGCAGCCCTTGTGAGTAAGGTAGTAAGACAGTGTTGTTGCTTGGGATCTTCATCCCACTCTCAAAATAGCCCCTTTTCACAGAACCCTTGTTCAAACCTGCATCTTCCGTCTTCTCTTAAGTGAAAACACAGTGTAAGAAGGCTTATTTCAATAATTTAAGTGCTTTTCTTCACACATTGTCATTGTGTAGCATTCTCCCTGAACACAGTTGTGTGCAGCATTAAATTATGCCCTTTCTCCATTTCTTCCAGTTGTACAAAAGGATTTGAAATATGAAAACAGCATTTATGAGAAAGCAAAGCTCTGCCAGCATTATATTTTAGTACCAGGTTGGATTTACCCATTGCCTGTTCTGAGGCTTTATTAGGGGGCAGGACTGAAACTCCCTGCACTGCAAAGGCCTTCTGGGGCTCCTGGGGAAGCAGTAGTCCCTGTGTGCAAAGAAAATAGCTTGTCATTTTGATATGAGCTGACCGACTGCCTGCCTTGCACTGTCTGCTTTTCTTTTTCCAGAAGTGCTGACCATGTACAATTCTCAGTGACTCCTTTGTGAGCAAGCTGTGGTTTTGACGGGTTGGTTGCACAGTTTGGGGGATTTTTATCACATTTAATGTCATCTGAAAAATGGCAGAATAAAATATAGTCCAGCCTTGGCTCTGCCTGCATATTGGCATTTTTGCCATGATCCCAGTGTGCTAGATGAATGGAGTCACAGTGTCTTTCCTTAGAAGAAAACTCATTGGGTGTAACTCTGATGAAAAACTAGATCGATCTGCCCCTTTAGTTTGTGTTTGCTCTGAAGTTTTTGACTTGTCCTGAATACAGGGTTCAGAACAAAGCCTGAGAGACTGAAAACCTGTATGGACTGTGAAGAGGCTTGTGTGAGCCCTGTCGAGTGATGAGGCACATCCCCCTGGCTCTAAGAACTGGACTTTCCTCCCCAGTGATATTCGGATGTGATGGGGAGGTGCTACTTCTGTGAAGAAGCTCAGTCCTGCAGCTCTTTGTTCAGTGGAGGATCTCAGAAAGCTATGTTTTTCTTTTCCCTGGTGGGATGGGAGGCGAGGCAACTCAACAACTTGCTCAAGAAAATATCACTACTGTTCAGCACATCACTTACAGATGTTTAAGTAAAAGATGTCAGGTCCACTGCTGGATAGCAGGTATCAGGATTCCTCATATCTCAGCCTGGATTCTGGCTCTACAAACACAAACTGGTTTCCCAAAGCTGCTTCTTGCTGTGTATTTGCCTCAGGCTTAGATGGGTCACCAGGGCTTTGGATTGCAAAAATCAGATCGGATGCTCCTATCTTTGTTTTCAATAACAGAGACAAACTTTGCCCTTTGCTGTGCCTGCAGGGCAGCAAGTAATGAATGTTTATGGCAATATTGGTTAGCTCTGATAGCAACCTGCCTGACCTTGCTGGAGAGAATCCCTTCTGCCCTTGCCTGACAGAAGTGAGTCTCCATCTCCATGGCTGCAAGTCACCTGCCTTCAAGGCCTTCTGCAGCAGAGGTGGTGCAGAGATGTAACTCTTCCCTGCTTCCTGCATCAAGGTAGGGAGACGCAGCTCTGGAAGGCTGCTAGCTGCTCACATGGTTAGGAGAATACGTCTGGCAGCCTACAGATCATCAGCCATGCAAAACTACCTTAAATCAAGTAAATTTCTCCATACAGTTGCAAAGATGTAGGGCTCTATGCCGCTGTAACTGTGCTGCTAGCCAAGCTGCCTGCTTACAAATGTGCTCCTAACTGCTGTCTGTCTTGTTGTTCCATGTGTTGCTCACTTTAATGTTGCCTATCTCCTGGTTTCTGCCATAGAATCATAGAATGGCCTGGGTTGAAAGGGACTTAAAGCCCACCCAGTTCAAATCCTTCTGCCATGGGTAGGTTTGCCAACCACTAGACCACACTGCTTCACTAATTGTTACAGAATCACAGAATGGCCAGGGTCAGAAGGGACCCCAATGATCATGAATCTCCAACCCCCTGCCTCATGCAGGGCCACCAACCTCCCCATTTAATACTAGACCAGGCTGCCCAGGGCCCCATCCAACCTGGCCTTGAACACCTCAAGGGACAGGGCATCCACAACTTCTCTGGGCAGCCTGTGCCAGCACCTCACCACTCTCTGTAAAGAATTTCCCCCTGACATCCAACCTAACTTTCCCTTCCCTCAATTTAAAACCATTTCCCCTTGTCCTGCCATTATCTACCCTTTCAAAGAGTTGATTCCCCTCCTGTTTGTAGGCTCCCTTTAGGTATTGAAATTCTCTTCTCATCCCTGCAAGCAGGGATCTCAAGGCTTCCGGGCACAGGCCCTTGTCCTTGGGTCTAAGGGACTGCGGAGAGCCCAGCTTCTGCCTCTGTATTCACATCTAGGGCTTATTCTGCAGGGGAAAAGGCAAAGCCAAAGCTGATTGGCATGAGAAAGAGCATAGCACTTGCTGGGAGGAAAGGAATTCTACTGTGCATCTCTTGTTAATCTCTCAAAGTAGAGCTGCCAACCTGTTCCTTTTGCTACCTTTTCACATCTACCATTTTCTGCACTGAATGATGTGTTTGTGTTCACAGCATGGTTCCTTCAAAGAACCTCCATGTCTTCAGAGGCTCTCTGGATGGAGAGGGAATAGTGCCTGAAGCTGAGTTTCTTGTTCTAAGCTACCCAAGGTCTCCTGCCACCAGAAATGGTAGTGATGATTTCACAGGCTCTGAGTGTTCATTTTCCACTAGATCCCAAGATTTAATTGTAGCATTCCTTTCATGTGCATTGCTTTCCCTGGACAGGGATAAAGTCACATTGCACCTGCAGATGTGGCAAGATCTGTAGCAACAGGCAGCAGAGCTGGTGACCTCTTCCGTGGAGTCCCAAACACTGGGCTATTGCAAAAGTTAATCAGATAATCAGAGCTGACACACAAACAAAATATTACCCTCCAAAAATCCTTCCCTTGTCATCTCCCTGCACATCTCAGTGCGGCACTGCCTGTGCACAGCAGCCTCTGTGGCTGCATACACTTCTGGTGTGTTTTGTCCTCCTCTGTTCTTCTCGTTTAGCCTTCCCTTATTGAATCTGATTGACTCTGAGGCCATTGATTATAAATAAGATCTTGGGGGCAGGTCTGACAGGCTTGCACTGTTTTTCTGCAGCAGGCTTTGAGTTCTGGTTGGGAGCAATTGAACATTACTGTTATATTAAATGATGGTCAGTGATAGGAATGCAGTGACCACTTAATATCCCAAATTGCTGCTTGTAAGAGGGCAGGGTTTGGCTTTTGGCCAGATCTCCGTGCTCCTGCAGGATGATTCATTACTTTGCTCTGGCAAATGTATTTTCATCTGTTAGTTTAAATCTGACTACTAGAACTCCGTGTGTTTCTCACAGCTGAGGAATTTCCTGCCCTTTATCTGCCTGTTTTCTTCCAATCTAGGCTAAAATCAATACACTTAAATAAATAAAACTACTGGGCTTGTGAGTTCCTCCTGCTGTGTCAGCGACAGAAGTTAAGCTGAGTGACCAAAGATTAGTTAAGCCATTTTCTTCTCCTTTAAGTAAATTTACTATCACTGAGGCATGCCAGACTTGTCTGGAAGATGGCACTCCTCTGCCTGACTACAGCAGAGAGTTTGCCAGCTAGCAGATCTGAGGGATGGCCTTGGCTTCCAGTCAGTGACAGGTCCCTCTGTAAGGAAGGGCCCCTGTCCACTCCATTTGCAACCCCTAGCCTTGAGGGTTTGGTTTGGGCATGATTGGGACTATTGCTCTGCGATGACTTTGCCAGTGGTACAAGCAGGGTTGGGAAGGGTGGCTAAGAGATGGACAGTCTGCATCTTGTTAGACTTCTCCCATCCCTATGACCTCTGCTTCCCCCAGCTTGAGGCATTTAGTGCCCTTCATTAAATCACTATGGGAGAAAGGAGTTGAGGAGTTGCTATACTTTGTCTGGGAGTAGGAGAAGCTGAGTTTCTGCTTTCCAGTTACTTGGAAAAGTGAAGAATTTCTGTGCCAACTTTCTCTTCCCTTAGCAGGATGCCACAGCTCAGCTGAAACTAAGGTTGTCAGCAGAATATCCCTGTTATGGAGTTCAAGAGGATGGAGGCCATAGGGTGCAGTCCTGTCCTTAAAACAGGTCCTAAAAGTCCTTAGGCACTACTTCTGCTTCTATTCTTCCCAGTAGGCATGCTTCTTGGGTCTGCTCCTTTTGAGAGGGTTATAGTGAGTATGACAGAGGCTCCTTCCACAGTTCCTGTCCATGCTGCAGAGCAGGAGGAGGGCAGGAGCATCTCCTGATAGGATTGATGCACAGTCAGTTCTTCTTGGACAGAGGAAGAGGTGCAGGTGGTATGCCCTTAAGGTTTTCTCTTTTCTCCCATGTGCCAGGAGATACCTCCCTCTATGTTGCACTTTGTTCTAGAAGGCAAAAAATGACAGGGATTTGCTCCTTAGTTTTGTAAGGGACAAACTGTTTCACGACAACATATTCCTCTTTTCCTTTCCTTGCTCTGGCTGCAGGTCTGGCTGCACGTTGTTCAGCAGGATCAACTAGGATGCATTACAAGCCAATAGTTCAGTACGGGCAGCAGCATGAAAGTGCAATGCCTTGTCTCCTACCTTGCCAACAATGGCAGGGTTCCAGTGTTGGAAGCAGTGTGGTGTGCAGTGTTGGGCTCTTGGTACAGATGTGAGATGGATGCCATGTGGCGGCTGTGATCCTGCAACATCACACTGGGAGGTGGCTGTAATCTCTAGAGCTGCTGTGCCGCTGGGCTGGGCTGGGATGTTCTCAGGTATCCATGGTGGTGATGGCCTTGACACCATCCAGGGATCCCCACAGTTTTTGGCAGGCCTGCCCCAGGACCTCCTCTGAAGGTGAGTAAGGATATCACAAGCTGTGCCCCAAGCTGAGGATGCAACCAAGTGGAAAGGAAACCAGCTCTGTTTACACACAGATACCTGTGCAGCCAACAGCGTTAGAGAGAGAAAACAGAAAAGGACATGACAGTTACAGTGGGTTTTCATTAAATATTAAATGGAGTGAAGTTTTTCCAGAGTGTGCCTGGGCTGCTTTCAATTGTCTGTCTGACGGCAACAAGGAGAAGAGTCAAGTGGGTGAACCCAGGCCTGGAGGTGCAGGGCTGCCTGCTCAGGAGCTGTAGCCATGGGGATCATTTCATACTTTGCTGCTCACAACTCCAGCATACCCTATGCAGAGCAGGGGCTGCAGGACAGCAAGGTAAGGGCAGGAGCTGCTCCTTCCATCAGCAGTGCCAGGCTGCACAGCAGCGTGCTCCTGGTCCCTTCTTGTCATACCGCTGCCCCCCACCACCCAGACCCATGTCTTCTTGTGACGGAGCTTAGAGGGGCAGTAAGAGGAGTCTTCAAATGCAGCTTGGGTTAATAAGTTAAAATACAGAGCCTTAATCCCCACTGCTAAATCAGAATGTAATTCAGCTTATAACCGCGGCCCAATCCATGTGAATTACAATCACTTTAAATACAGCCAGGGCCAACCGGGGTTTAGCATTCTCCTGAGGGATCCTAAAAGCGGAAAGTGGGGCGAGCACTGTGTGGGTACCCTGCCATCTCTGGGTGCTGCAGCAGCATGGGTAGGGTGTTCTGGGCACTCTGGGAAGGTCACCCCTAGGTGACAGCCTGGGCAAAGGGGTGTGTGACTCAAGCTTATCTGCCCAGGAGGGAGGTGGAGGCTGCCAGCAAGCCCACAATGCTTCCATCTTTAATTTAGGATGTTTATCTCAAGAGATTCTTCAAGCTTTAAAACAAATGTAAGGAGATCTGTGTTTGGCAGCATCTGGCCTCCGAAAGCAGGCATGCATGGCTGGTGGTAAGGGCTCCTGCTCCGCGTCCTTCCTTTCCATTTAACCTACTTGGAGATGAACCTTGCTCTTCCTGTCTGCCCCAAAGAGCCAGGAGGGTTTTGTCCCAGCTTCAACCAAAGGTGGGCACCTCAGGGGGTCCAATGTGCTCAGGAAGATCTTTTACTGCACTGTTACAATATTCATTCCTGGCTTTTGCAGCATTGTTGCTGAGCCCCTAGGGAAAGGAATAACAGCTCGTTGTTTCCTTGTGCTGCCCCAGTCTGGGAAAGCAGGGCTCTGGGAGCCTGCATAGAGCCAAGGTTTGCAGCCACCACTGACCCACAGGCCTTCCCTTCCCTTGGGTAATGTGTGCAAGCATGTCGATTCAAAAGCTCTGCAGAAATTTAGGGTCTTGATGGATGCTTTTCCAAGCACTGAGCTGGAAAGTCCCTGTGGGATCAAAGCTTTACTTTTGTGGGCTGCCAGGCACGGATATGAAGTTCAAAGAGTCCGAGCTACTAGACTGGTGGAGAGAAGTTAGAAAATAAGACCTTCTTCCCAGAATTGTGACTATATTTGGACCTTTTCAGGGAGTTTCTGCCATTTTTTCATGTCACTCTTTTTAGTGGTTTCCTTAGATTTCATCTTCCTATAGTGAATGGCTAGTGTTGTTTGAATACTGAGCCAAAAAGAGAAATCATGGTAATTTTTCAAAGCCTGACATCTAAAGTGCCTGGTGTATGGGGCTGGACAGCTCATGAAAATTTTGTGGGTGTTAGGAGGGAATGGAAATGATCTGGGTTCTTGGGTGCTTTCCCAACCTCTGCTAGCCAGTTTTCTATGTTTAGATATGGTTTACTTGGCAGCATTGACAGAGTTTAGAGGATGGCAGAGGGTTTTCAGGCAGTGGCAGAGCACAGCAAGCATATCATATCCTGGATACAACAGCAGAAGCTGCAGAAGCAGAAAGATATCATGATGGGTACATGAACACCAGAGAGAGAAGTGGTGGGCATCTGGACAGTGGAGTGGAGACACATAGCAGTGGGAGAGGGACTGAAGCACAGCAGCACAGAGCAGGGCTGCACTGTCCATCCTTTGGAAAGCTTGGGAGGGGGAGATGTCCTCAGCTACCTGCCTGACTGTACCCGTTAGCACAGACACACCTCAGGAAGCAAGGATCCAAGATAAGCTTCCTCACAGGCACTGAGATTTTGAAGCCTTGGACCAACCACACTTGCTGGAGCAACTCTAACCCTAGGGTAGAAGAAGCTCAGCTTCCCAACTCCCAAGACAAGCTGAGTGCATGGCCTGGGACTGCACTGCCCTTGGCTCTTGCAGAAACCAGATGATGATCTCTTTCCAGGCAGCTGGGCTGGTGTGGCTTCACAGCTGTTTTATAACACCCTCCCTGCATCCTCTGAAATTCCCACGTGTGTCACAACCCTGTCCCCTCTCAGCAACAGAACAGGCGTTAACCAGACCTATACCTACACCCAGCTAAAGTCATTTCAATATTTGGAATTTTTGTATGGCTTTGCAAGCACATATTTGGTTTCCCTAGTGGTCACAGAGAGCGCTGTCTACTGTGCTCCTCCCTTCTGCTGGTCTGACTGCTCCTGTGTGCCACGCAAGCAATAGCGTCTACATGAGACAGATGCTTATGCAGATGGTGCTGCCTTAATTCCCAGTGTGAGGGGTGTCACACCACGTGCCATTATGGCTGGCTGCCCATTCCTTGCACACCACAAGCCTGCAAGAAAGGTCTTACTTCTTTGAGGCTGAGCCAGCAAATTTGCTTTGTAACAGGGCTAGGTGCAAGACCTCATACTATGTGAAGAAGCAGAGCCACCTTTGAAACTATGCATTTCTTGGCTTCATCTCACAATGTTCCTGTTCTTGCACTGGTCCCACGAGCGGGGACCTATCTGTGGCAGGCAGGGCAGCAGGTAGGACACAGCCCCAGATGGTAGCTGATCTGTGCGGCCATCTGCCATGCTGCTGTCTGCAGGGTGCAGTGATAGCTTAGGGCAGAGGGATGCCACTTCTGTGCTGGTTCCATGGCATGCAATGGGTAACTTGGACTGAGCATGCACGCATCCCACAGCATAAGCCAGCTGCTCTGCAGGGGTCCATGGTAATTAGGTATGTTTTGTTAGTTAGTTAGTTAGTTTGTTTGTTTGTTTTACTAGGTTGCTTTGCTATACTGCTTGCTTTAAAGTCTCTCCTTCCTTGCAGGTTTCCTCTCTGGGAAAATGTTGAAGGGCAGTCTTCACCAGGAGGCTGCCCACCCCAACCAGCTACAAGGCTTGCAGGTGGGCATCGGGCAGACTAGTGTTAGAGAGCACGTGGTACAGCATCCCTGCTGTAATATGGGGAATTATCCCTTATCCTGTGTGCTGCAATGCACAAGTGGGTAATGACAAAATAAGGCTTTCAAGTGATTCTATCAGGGAATTGCAACATCTGTTCCATCCTTCATGCAGGCTGCAATATTAGGAGGACTGAGCAATTCCATGTGAATTGCTGGCCCCAGCTGCGGTTTCTCATGTTCTGGTGGAGCCATCAAAGCCACCACGAAGGCTCCAGGGACATCCTCAGAAGGATTAGGTCAGAGGCAGCAGGACCACTGCTTTCTTTCCAACAGCGTCTTAGTTTCAGCAGGGACCAAATTGTTTTCTTCAGTGTGTGATATGATGCTATGTTATGGTTCTAGGAGAAAAACAACGTTGATAACACACCAGTGTTTATAGCTGCTGCTAAGCAGCGCTGTACAGAGCCAAGGCCATTTGCAGTGAAGAGCCCAAGGAGCTGGGGGGGAACAGAATTAGGACAGCTGGCTTAAACTGGCCAAAGGGATATTCCATACCATATAATATCATGTGGAAGGAGTTTTACGAGGGAGTGGGAGTTCATCTCACTCTCCTCTGCTGCTCAGGGGGCTAGCTGGGCATCTGTTGGTGGGGTAGTGGCAAAATGCTTGTGCATCGCTTATTATTTACATTGATATTAGCAGATAGATAGATATAGTTTATAACTATTATCCTTTTTCTTTTATCTTAGTAAATATCTTATCTTAGTAAATAGTTTTATCTCAACCCATGAATTCTACACTTTTTTCCTGATTCTTTCCCCCATTCCACTGGGAATTGCCTGCAGCAAAGGACTGTGTGGTGCTCAGCCACCTGCTGGGTTAAACCACAACAAGTGGAGAGACTGGAGTAAAGCACAAAGCCAAGGCAGGCTGAATTCCTCAGGACCAGAGTGCTCTCATCAGGCAACACACTGCTCCCCGCTGATGCCAAGACATAGGTAGCTCCAGGGCTGGCACAGGGCTGGCTTTGCTCTCTTCTGCTCAGGATGAACCTCTCCTAGCTCAGTCACTTCTTAGCGCTGAGATACCTTTTGAGAATAACAAATAACCAAAATGCTTTGTCAGCATGGAAGCCCATCATGTGAACGGAGGCTGTGTTTGAATTACAGAAGCAGTGCTGTTTTTGCTGAGGAACTCCCCCAGAGACAAGCAGCTCCTGCATTATTAACAACGGTGCTGATGAATCCCCGCTAATGAGACGTGCTCTCTCAGCCAGCCAGCAAAGCGGCCGTGGCCCCACTGCTCACAGCCCACGTTGCAGAGTTTTGTTTGAGAGCAAGAGACAACTGCTCTGGGGAGCAATTGGCAATGCTCTGCTGTACGATTTGGCTGCTTTCCCTAACATTTGATAACGTCCTGCCAGGCTTGAGCTAGGTAGGCACGGAAATCCCGCTTTTGTTCTCTACTGGCTGTGAAAAGGGAAATAAAGGGCTGCCTTCCCAATGATACACACTTGTGACTAAAGAAAAGACCTGTTCCTTGGCGCGTACTCTGCTCTGCTCCAGAGAGCAATATGGGCTGCGCCCTCTAGTCTGCTTCTTAATGGCTCGACAGATTTCACTGTTAGGAAAATCTTTGTCCAATTTCTTTAACTCAATTTCATCTCGCTCCATTTATCAATTCTGCTTTTGGTTTCTGGATGCAATTACTTTCCCACTGTGACCATTATACCTCCTGGAATACTTGTAGAATAGGATCTTATGCACTCTTAGCTGACATTTGGCTGGGAGAGACATCTTAAACTCTTTCAGTTTTTGCTAAGTCAAATCTCCTTTGAGCTTTCCTAGCAGGATAATGCTTTTCTGACAACACAGTGCATAGAATGGGACTTAGCAGCCTCTGTGGATGCAGAAAGACTGCTTTTCTTCCAGTGCATCATATCATGTCTCTGTGGTCCAACACATCATCACCCATTGTGCTAATGCATTTTCAAGAAGCATAATTTTCCCAGTTGTTCTATGAAGCTAATTTGCTCTGCGTTGTAGACACTGATGCTTTGCAGATGTCACAGATGATGTCAGCCTTCTGATGCCATTGCTGTATGCAGAATGATTTTGTTAACCTCAGCTTTGCTCATGCTCCAGCTTACTGACTGTCATGGGGTTTCCCTGATATGAACAGCACTGACCTCCAGGGTTCTCCTGTGCAAGTAGAGGACAAAGCAAACCCTGCAGGAGGTGAGAGGGCAGGTTATCACTATTTAGGAGTAATTGGAGTAGCTCCTTTTAAAGCAGGACTTCTTGCAGATCTTATGAGTAATCTGCATAGTAAGCATACAGTCAGGACAGTGAAGTGAGAGGGCACAAAAATTCCTGATAACTTATCCCTTGAAAAAATAACTGACAAAATGAAAAGGCTGAAGTTACCTCTTCTGTACTTTCCATTTTTAGCTATATGACAAGAGAAATTTAGGATGCTAAGACTGCTGATGTAATCAGAGCCCAAAGGCTGAATTTTGCAGATGTCCCTCGCAGCTCACATAAAAGACCAAGAAGCCCTGACAAGCCATTGGAGCAGATCCTGGAGATGCCTGCAGCACTGGGGATCAAACCCTGTGGTGCTTGGGACTGAAACAGTGGGAGATGAGAGGTCTTTGGCATCAAGGAAGGCAGAGATGAATCTTCAGAAAGGATTACACAAGAAAAGTAATAGCTGAGTGGAATATCTTCCACTTTAGAGGCAAAAGTCTTATCTGCATGTGAAGTGGTGCAGCCTCAGGTAAAATGTTCTTAGAGTAGGACTCGAATAGATCAGAAGGATAATAACAGTGCAGAGATTGAGTTATTAGTGCTGAGAGTGCAGGAACGCTCAATCCCACCATGCTGAGCACCTCCTGCCTGTGTGCGTCTCCAGAGCACCCCAGATTGGGCAGAGATGAGGTCCCGTGCACTGAGGGCAGAGCAACTCAGGTATGATGTGCTGAGGAGATAGGAAGTATCTGGATATGGGCAGGGAGGGTGGGAGAGTGTTGCCCCCTGAGCCAAGAGCAAGATCTCCTTGCTTGCAGACATCATGCCTGCAACACCAGCCTGCACTTCCAGCTAAGAATCCTTTGCAGAACAGAAATAGCCTCGCTAACCGGTGGCAACAGATTACACTACCTAAATTTTGCAAAGCCTACTGATTATGCATTAATCATCCTGAAAAAGAAATAGGTGAAAGCAGGATGAGACCTACTGCTGAACCCTGTAGCATCCCACCAAACACCTCTGCTGGTACCCTTGTTCTATAATCACTTCCCCGCGTGCTATGGCCACCCCACTAGGTTTATGTGGAAAGCCCCACTAAATTCTTCTTAAAAAAAGACCTTCATCATGGGGACAGGAGATGTAGGATCTGTTCTCAGCTCAGCTGCTGACCACTGAGGAAACCTGGGCCATAGCTTTCATCCAAGGTCACTGCCTGCCCAGGGTTCCTGTCCCTATGCCTTCTCCTCTTGTTTTGGATGCCCAGGAGTGGTGTGTGGGTGAGAGAGCCCCAGCTGTGCCTGCAGCCAGCGCTGGCTGGCCGCTGCAGCAGGGCCAAGTGTAAGGGTTGAGCTCCTGTTTTCAATTAACGTTACTATTTCTGAAGGGAATATCTGCTGCACAGGGAGGTAACCCATGGCAACCATCTGCTAAACTGCGATTCACACTGCCTGGGCTTATCAGGGAGGTGGAGTGCAGGCGAGACGGGGGCGATGCGGGGAGAGCCACGCAAGAACTGGGGAAATGGCTTCTCCTCCATCCTTGTCCCTCTCCATGTACAGCAGCACGGTGCCCGCTCGCCCCTCAGCATCGCGTGCTGCTGGATAATTGATGGGCAGCAGCTCACTTTGCTTGTTGTTGTCACTTTGTTTGCTGTTGCCTCTAAATACAGCATGGTTTGAGGATACCGGTGAGCACCTACCTGGCTGTTCGCCTGTGTCTCCAGGCAGGGGTCTGTCCTGCACAGGGCAGGAGGACAGACAGATGGTAGGGAACACACATTCATATTATAAAAATGTGCTCCTGTCCTATCCTCCTGTTGTAGGTGATCTCAGGCCAGCTGTGATTTTGGCCAGGGCCAAAACATTGTGGGTAGAACTGAACTCAAGGGCTGATGAGAAAGACAAGGCCTGAAGTGCTGACGAGGCATTAAAATAAGTAGCGAGCAAAAATAAGACGCTACTTATATTTTAAATATAACATTAATTAATAAAGAAAAGTGTACTAAAAGCCCTCAGATAGCGAGGAGAAAAATCTCTTTCTCTTATAATTTAGGAGCTGCTGGAGCATGGTTCCCCAGCCCCAAATGATGATAGCCCTATGTCAAGTGTGGGCATGAGACCCCTCTGCAGTCGCACAGAGACCAGCCCTGCCCTGCAGCAAGAGGAGGGAGAGCTTTCAGAAAATAGATAACACGAGGATAAAAGGAAAAGGTCATCTTCAGACCACACTGCTCCATCACATCAACATTAATTCATGTTAGTGCGTTACTTAGGATGTAACTGAATGCCATGAAAAATGGTTCAGAGATTCCCCGGCCCAACCTGGCAGTCCACTTCAGCAAAGCTATCTAATAGGTTTATTATAGTTTATTGAGCAGCAGTTCACACAGAGTATATCAGAACAACTGCCCAAATGCTAAATGGCCTTAGGAGTGATGGCATTTTTGAAAGAATTATTGTGGCAGGATGGGTAACTCGGTGTCTAGGGCCCTATGCTACCTCCATCCCTGTCAGAAGAAATAATGACCAAATTTCCTTCTGAGCCTCATGGCCCATTGGGCTAATGTGCAGGAGGCTGTTTGGCACAGGCGGTACCTTCAGCTCCCCCCGCATGGATGAATTCTTGCAGTCACTTTTTATGAGCAAGTCGTTCTCAGCATCGCAAGCTGTCCTCTCACCTCTCTTGCTGCACCCCAAAGATAATTCCTTTCTCCTGGGCATCAGCTCTTGCAGAGAGATACAAAACTTGTGTCTTGGCTAACAGCAATACCACAGTTAGCTCTGGCTGGGAGAGACTTGGAAAAAATCTTGTTCTACCTGAAGAAACATCTCTGCTCCTTGTAACAAGAAGAAAAAAAAAAAAAGTGACTTGCAAATCAGCTTTACATCTTATTACCAGACGTTTAGGTTAGTTTACTATAATACCTTCCCCCCAAAATTAAGCATCTGACTGCAATTTTTGGAAACAAGGTTAAGGAAAGAGAAAACAGCATAAAGCTTCAACAACAGCCTTAAAGCTTAACTCCGTTCTGCCTGCTAGATCCAGCTTTCTTCTAATCAACCCACAAACCCAGGGTTTATTCTAGCAAATGCTCTCCTTGACAGAGAGAGGTTTCAAGTAGCTGCCTCTCCTTTCCTTCCAGTTCATTATTTATGTTCCTAACTTTTCAGGAGAGTTGTAGAGTGAAGGATATCGCTGGGGATTTTACAAGTACTCGTTTATTTTATGCTAATTTAGGGCTCTCTTTATAGAGTGGATTTGCTTTTAGCCACACAGCATTTGCAAGACTACTCGTGGAGTAGTTTTTCAAGCTTACTTGAAAACAGACAGCTCAGATGGGAAGGGAAGCGGTGCAACCTTTGCTTCCATACCTCTTCAGAATCAGTCATATGAATGGCACTCAAAGCTTCCATTGCAGCATATTCCACATTACTCAGTATGTGCGTTCTTCAGCATTCTACAGCCATTTCTCTGTTGGATCCCCTCTTGCTCTTCCAAATGACTTAAAATGTGCTCTTTCACCTGATTTCATGCATAAAGATCCCGTACTTATTTTTCATTACATCCCCCTTCCCTATAATTTATGTACTATATTCTGATATCCGTAACTTGAGTTACC